TGCGTTAAATATTGTACTAAGTTAGTTTAGATGTAATATATAAGGATATCACGTACGCCGTTAACTTCTCTAAATATCGGAAGAGGCTGTTTTCGTGGTGGACCCTGGTAGTATTGTGGTTATACTACGATTGTGAACGTAGAGCAATTTTCTTATATTTAAAAAATATTATCTTGGACTTTATTATGCTTCGGAGCCCACGTGATTTACACCGCGTAGTATGTTATGGAGTCTAATGGATTGGCTGCAGTCTGTTCTTATGTTATTCTATCAGAACAGAGAAGGCCTGTGTGCCAGCAGTGGATGATGATTAATAAAGATCGACCGAATACTATTCGGTTTTCCGTTCTATTGTTTTCCGCGTAAACAGGTTTAAAAATAAGTGTTTATTTACAAATTTATTGCTTAATTTATTAGCTTTATTGAATACATTCTTCATAGGTTTTGTTTCACTTGTAAATCTCACATAAGTTTTGTCTTTTAGTGATGTACCGTGTCGTGTAGCCAAGAAAGTAATGGTTTTCGAACCGAATATATTGGGCATCAACGCAATAGGCAATTACTAATACTGAATAACGAATACCAATCGAATATTAGGCGCATCTCTTATAATTTAGGGCGCATTTTAAAGCTTTCGAGGGAACACATCAAACAGTTTAGTGGAGAAAGTTTAAATCGCCAACGATACCCGGATAATGGATTTTATTTTAAATCCCAACAGTTGGAGAGGGATATCCGTTTCCACAATGATGCCCGGCCCAAGGTGCACAGCACACCACTCTTCGAGAATGTGCAGGTGAATTTAAAATAAAAATTCCTTCGATTCGACGCGGTTAAGTGTGCGGGGTTTCATGTTCCTTATCCGATTGATTCGATTCGTTCGGAAGGTGCGTTGGGTGATGACAGAGTTAAACTGTAGGCACGTAAAACTACTCAAATGTCTGACTTGATGTCTTCAGTCAACTCTCCAACCTCGCCTGTCCTATTATTCAGATTTCTAGATCAGGTCAGGTGTCCTAACCTAGAGGTTAGGAACAGCTACTTAACAAGCATCTTGTTTTCTTAAAGAAATAAAGCTATAAAACCGGTAGTTTTGTAATAAAATTTAAATGTTGCCGGTTGTGCAGCAGTTTTACTGTAGAGTCGTGTCTGTTGTAAAAATAACGTTGTCCAGTTTTCGTTTGGCTTCTTTTCGATTTTGTGTTAACGGCCGGTGTGTGGCGACACTCGCGACGCCGCCATCCTATGCAACTCTGTCACTAATTAAACAATCGTACAGGATGTTCTTTATCTATGTTATGACATTTGTACATTATTTTAACAAAATACAATTTCATTATTTATTATTAATTATTGAATATATTAATGTTCAGTTTAAAAACAGAAACATGTACAAGCTTAACAAAGAAATTATTAAAAGTATAACATTTTGTTATATTGCTTGCTTATTATAAAATTAAGTGTATCGATTTGTCTGTGTTAACCTATTTTTTTCATAGTTTTTACTTCACTATTACCTAGAGTTATTCATCAATAAGAGGTGTGTATTTCATTAATATTTTGCGTAAACTAACTGAAATATGATTGAAGATTTCGGAAAAACTATGGTTAAATATTGAAGCTTTGTTTTTTCAACTAATAAATATCGTGCATACTTAAAAGTTCTTTATGATAAGGGCAAATTGAAAGCTTGCGTTTAAGAAGCACGCTATATTAAAAACCGAAGTGGGTTAGAGTTGTTCTGGTGCGGATTATTAATAGCGCACGCCGTCGTTATACGTCGCATCATGCGCGCGCGCACCTCACACACGCCGGCCCTCGCGTACGCGTCGAGTGTGGCTTACTATAAGTAAACAAACATTACGTGAATTCTGTTATGTTATTTGTTTACGTTCACTTAGTAATTGATCGGTTTATTATAAGATGATGTTCAACGGCTTGTTGATGTGCGGTGATTCGGATACCAGCGATGTTACCAAAGTGAGTGGTTACACTATTTATCGGTCGGTGAATTATGTTGTGATTTTAAATGTAAATCTTGAAAGTATATGTAATAAATGGCAGTTAAATTTCGATGTTAAACAATCGAAGCCTGGGTTTTCGTAGAAAGAGGTGCTCGTTTTAAATACATTACTAACATTCTTCTGAACTTTTCATGGTGGCGTTAAAATAAAGGGAGCGAGTCCAATCTAAAGAAATGTGATTATTTTGTTAACGCATACAATTTTTTTATTTTATACAACACACATCGATGGAAGATATTTGGAGAATTGTTTTACAAAATTATCGCATACGGATTTTGATGGTCGATAAAGTTATTAATTGATTGCGCAATTTTTGTGTAGGTAATCGAGATTGGTATATATTAGAAATCAGCAATTAGCTTTCCAAACATTGGTTTGTTTAGAGCGGGATAGGCGTATTTTATTAATACGCAGCCTGTTAATAATTGTTTACGATTTTTATTGTATGACAATGAGATTTTTAAATTAATATTATGTTTTTTTTCTCTTTATTTTGGCACAAACAGTCGAAAACGATATATACATATAATACACAATAAACTTAAAAAAAAAAATATAATAAGCAATCTTTAAGGCAGTCCCTGTTGCAATAAATCACACGACTATTACAATTTCTCTGCAAAAAGGGTTTTTTTCTTTATCTCATTCATAAATGTTCAGCTGCATAATTTTTCCAATATTATTTGCTTTAAGCCTATTAAGGAAATATTAAAAATTTCAACATCCTTGAATTCTTGATTGATTAGATCCAATGAACGAGCTAGAAAGCAATTTTTGGTATTGTTTTTGTGAAGGGCGGGCGGCATAAAAGTATAAAGATCACGGTTTTAGCGATTCGATAGACGTCTCTTCATTTTAAAGTTGAGTTTAGATAATAACGTGGGACTATCTATGATACCGTTAAATATTTTAAATAAAAACACTTAATCATATTGTTTGCGCCCATCACAAAGGCTAAGAAGTCTGAGATATAATATAATATCGTAAATGATGTGTTGAACGAAGAATATCACCTATGTCTTTTGTACATTGTAAAGAGGAGCGGGCGAAGGTGCGAGCCCTGAGATACCCCGGACACAGTACCAGACCTAAACTCCTTCAATCCAACGGTTTGACTTCTATTTCGAATATATAACTCAATTCACCGAATTAAACTGCCATGTACACCTAGCCCATAAAGCTTATCCTACAGAAAATCGTGATTAATTTTGAGGAAGGGTTTTGAGAAATCGGTGTATACTGCGTCCATCTGCGCATTGACATCTAAGGCGCAAAAGAGAAAATCAGTAAATGTAACCAAGTTAGACTCAACTCAACAAATCGAGATTTAATAAATAGTTTTCGGAGATGTGATTACGGACTGCATATGAAAGCTGTTGTGCTACGATTTTCTCAAAGATTCTTCCAATTACACAAAACTTAGATACCTATGGGTCTGTATTCAGTAACTGATTTTGCATGTGCAGTTGACACGATTAAATCCCTTCATTTTATTATTATTATAATATTATTAAATTATTGAAATCGAAGAGCTCGATGGCGCAGGACAGGAGGTAGCTCGCACGGTCTGCGATACGGTCGTTAAGCAATTTTCGAAATGATTGGTTATAGGATGACCAAAAATTTATTATCTCGAGCTCCTCTGTGCTTCAGAATTCTCCCTATTTGATTCGTAAGGATTCCGTCCATAGGGAAGTCCTTAGTCCCAGCAGGGGGGGACGTCAATTTAATTAAAAATATTTGAGTTTTGCATAATTACCTTGGTGGTGTTGTTGTGTTGGACAGGAGAGCGGTGGGGGTGGGGGAGGGGGCGGGGGCTCGAGCGCGGCGGACGCGGACGAGCGCGCGCACTACTACCGCACCAAGCTGCTGTCCACGTTACAGGTGGTGAGTGGTGTGAGGTGTCTTTACATTATTAGTCATTTTGAGATGGAGTTTTAATGTTAAATTAATAATCGTGGTTATTTGGAAAGCTAGCATACTCGATTAGGTTTATTATCTCTTATAATATACGAGACCGAATGATCCGAGTAATCTTTTTTTATGTTATAACATCTGAATTGTTATTCGTTCTATATAATTCATATTCATATTATTATTCATTCATATTCATTTCTTTGTTCATAAACATGAGTACAATACATTGGTGTAACAAAGTAAACAAAAGCTCAGCGATGATTCACCTCAGTTGGCATATGAACATTGCAAAATATTGAACGTAATTAACATAAAACAGATATATAGATTAAAAACTCAGATATCAATAAAAAATAAAAATTACAACAATGTCAATTAAAATCTAAGTAATAATTTTATTAGTTTTGTCAATTCTTGTTAAACTTACCATTTAAAAACATTCTAATGTATGAGCTTTTTCAGCAAGAAGACATTGAGTGCATTTTTAAATCTTTTATCATCATTTATCGATCTAATAGACAGCGGAATTTTATTATAAATTTGTTGGTGCCATATAGTTTACGCAAATTGTATTGAGAAGTTTTCTACATTTATGAGTGACCTTTAGAGTGCCTTCTCGACGACTTCCAATAGGATTTATATCAAAATAGTATGAATTGCTTCTAACATGCAATTTCAAACTTGCAATTTCATATATATACGTAGACTGTAGTGTAAGAATTTTATGCTTACGAAAGTATGGTTCACACGAGTCATCCCGCATTAGTCCGAACATGGATCTTAGACATCTCTTTTGGGTTCTGAAGATGCTTTGTTTAACAGTAATGTTAGCCCAGAAAATTATGCCATATTTGAGATTTGAAGCAACATACCCATGATAAGCTATTAGTAGTGTTTTAATGTTAGCAACTTCCCTCAATTTGTGAAGCGCATATGAGAATTAGTTTAATTTTTTTAAATAAATTATCAATTTAGGATTTCCATGATAATTGTCGAGGAAAGTAAATTATAAATGATTCGTTTGCATCGAATAGGCTTCGAGAACCACCAGACCGATTGGTTATAATTTACGCGGGGAAGTCGAGGAAAAACCGCTGGACCACATAGACTCATGTTATTTTATAATCGAGTGGTGAGGTGACAAACGGCGGTGGAATCGCGAGGTTCTGTTCTGGTTCCAGTTGCAGAACACAGAGGAGACCGTGCGCGTGCAGAGCGAGAGCCTGCGCGTGGCCGAGGCGCGCATCGCCCGCCTCTCCGCGCGCGCCGCCCGCACGCGCGACCTGCAGCACGACCTGCAGCACGACCAACCGCCTGCACAGGTCAGGCGGGACACTTCACTCAACTACTCACTTCAGAAATTATGATTACGAAAAGCGAACTTCGAGAAAGCTCTTTCTTAATTAAAAGTTTCTTTCTTCATTAATGGTTTTAGCTTTCGTTAATTTAAAAGATCCAATTTCGTTGTAATTACGGGAAGTAGAAGTTCTATTGAACCGAGAAACGCACATTGTTATGGTGAATTGTAAATACTATCGAATACCTAATACTTAAGACGGCAAGTTACTTTTCATTTGGCCAATATAAGTTTTTAATTTGTTTATCTTAGAAATGTTTATGATTTAGAAATGGGTTATTATAAGAAGCCATATTTGACATCTATTAATCTGAAATTCATAGTGATAATAATAATAAAATCTTTATTTGAAAAAATATGGTTTTATAAGTTGTTATAAATTTTTGAATACCCAGCATACTTTGTCGTCAGGACGACGTGCAAAGATTACAAGTCATTTTTAGAAAGAAATATAAAGCTATCAACATAATTTCAAGAAATAAAATACAAATTGTCACTAAAATTGAATAAAATTGATATAAAAAAATGTCAGCATCTTTATCAAATAATTAAAAAATAAATGTCAATTAAAATTATATAAATTATCCAAAATGTCAATGTCAATGAAAATGTTACCTAGAAAAACAAATTTACGAATATATGTTATACATTTTTATCTTTAAAGAAGTCATTCATTGTATATTATAATTTATCGATTAAAAAGTCAAACAAATGCTTTCTGAATTTAGTAAATGTCAGTGTTTTTATCTGATTAGGTAGATGATTGTATATACGGATTGCCATACAGTACGCATTTTTTGACGTCATTACAAGTCTTTGAGTAGGAATGCGTAAATCATCTCCTTTTCTACCTCTATAAACAAAGTCCTTGTTTTGTTTGAACATATGAAAATACTTTTTTACAAACACTGCCATTTCAAATATGTATAAACATGAGAGTGGCAAAATTTTTAAGGGTGAGTTGTCTTGCTTAAAATATTCTATTATAATAACGGATTTATATGGTTTTCAAACAAATGTAAATATAATACAGTAATTACGCAAATATAATATAAATTATTACTATTATCAGATAAACCGCAGCTCATCTGAATTTCTTTTTTTCTAATTATTTATCTATTCGATCACATTTGCATTCACAGTGCTTCGAAATATTTAGTGAGTAATTTTCATTATAATTTTAATGACATTTAAAAATATTTTTGTGATCATATTCCCAATGTGGTTAATCGTTCACGCCTTCATAAGTAATTATAAAATCAACTTCGGAATAGACCATGCAATCTTTTCGATGTTTTGGTCACATTCATTCGCCCTTGTGTTTAAAAAGACAACGGATCAACAGACTTCACTTTGTAGCGGCGTTTAGTATATTAAAAATGAAATTGATTTATTACATTTAGAAAGGTTAACTAGTAAAATTAATATTTTTTTACTTTTATAAATGACAATAAACATATCTTTATTTATTAAGATACTTTTATTTATAGAATCTTACGATCTTTTCACTTTTTTAAAATTAATAGTAATATGTGGGTGCAATACAAGGTTATTTTGAAATTGAGACTGATAGATGTCATATGTGGCTTATTATAATGACTCAACTGTAGATCCGTATTTATTATTTGCCCCGTTTTTCCTGAATCCTTTTTTTTTTGTTGCGCAGCTGCGTTCTCTGCATCTCTCGGACAGATGTGCGGCGGAGAGGACGGATGCGTCGGTGTCGGCGGAAGCGCAGGTCGGTTCGAAAATGTCATGCGCAGTCCCACAGGGTACTATATCGGGCCCGCCACTTATATGTCCCACGTTTGAAAAAAGCTTTTTATGACCTGTTGATTTTTGGGAAGTTTAGTTCCGCACGGCAATTTTGCCGAACATAAGTCGTTTATATTACGAAAATGTTCTTATTTTGATATGATTTAAATTAAATTTAGTCTAGTTTGTGCAACAGAATTTCATTTCATAAAAGTGACGACATAAAATCAATGTTAAAAATACAAAGAAAAGATGAAAATAAGTCACGTGAGACCATTTCAGTGCGTCGACGGTAATTTTACATTTAAAAGGTTTGATATTCGATATTGGATTTACGTTCTTATTGTAGAAAACTATTTTTTTTGTTTCATTATGTTATTTGTGTAATTGTAAATGTTTGAGATTTTAATTTAAGTTTTTCAAATGAAATTGGGTGTTGTTTTTTTATTGCGAATTGTAATATTTATTGTAATTTTGGTGTGTATATACACACATTTAAGTAGATTTTCTCATGTACAGTTGTTGTCGACACTAGGTAAGAACGATTGAGTGCTCCACACATGTGTAGTGGCGCCATCTAAAAATGAAGTAAAAGCACCTGTTTCACTTGTGCTACCGTCGACAAGGTCTATGTTGACCCAAAATCATCATTGTTTCACTATGTAGTGCTTGAATATAGTAAAGTTTTGTATATGTCGTCATAGCTGAGACTTTATATAGATAAGATATATATTTAGCGTGTGGTTTGTGGAGTTTCAGGAGTTGGAGAAACAAAAGGAAGTAGTTCGCTCCCTGCAGACAAATCTGGCCATCATCGAGGATCTATACCAGGAGTGCTTCTATGAGGTTAGCTGATCGCAGATACCTACTGTATTATTGTCTTTAAGTTTTCGGACTTAATTTATTTTTAGATTATTTTTTCTTTTAAATTCACACATGGGTTGTTAAATTTGCAGACGGCGAAACAGGAAGAGTTGATAGAGATTTTACGCAAGTCGTATTTGAGTACGCGAGGTAACACGCAGTTTGTCTTCGATGAGAAGCGTCAGGTATTCATTTTATTGACTTTCCGCATCCACCACATCTATGAAGTTAGGTCTAACTGCTATTTTACTCGACTGCTTAAAAAGGAGTGTATCGTGTTTGAGTTAGTGTGAGTTTCTTTATTCCACCGTAACTTTTAACATATTTAATAGATATAAGTATATAGGATATCTTAAGAAACATTATATCATCCTGAGTGGTTATATATTTTCTTAAATATTCTACAGGGCGTATGTATGACGCCATTTAAAAAACATGGAAATCTTTTTTTCTTTAATTATAGCAATGTGCGTAACAAATTAAAGTTTTTGATGAGTATATTCGAAAAAAAACACGACTGTATTGCAATGAGAATTCTGTTTAGCCAAGCAATAATACAACTTGTTTCTTTTACATTTAGGTCGATTTTGGCAGCCGTGTCTTTATAATTTTTTTAATTTAGTGACTTACGACATTCGGTTTGTCTTGTTATAGCTTAATCTTAAATTTTCACCTAAAAGTCCTAAATTATACAGAGTAACACAAACAGCTGAAGCTGACAGCGTATGTTTTAATAACTTTTTATTAAATTCATTAGGTGTAGATGTACGTAGTATCATGTAGGTAAGATCTATGTGAGAGCGCGTTATAAGTGCTATTGTTTTAGTAAGTGTAAGTATTGTTTTTCCAGGACACGCCGGTGGAGGAGGACAGCCTCAAATTGGACACGTCCAACGATGACTCGGTATTTATTCATTAACTAAAACTGTCCAGTACTAATTTTAGATCAAGAAGATCGAAGTTTCGAATTAAATTACAATAAGTTGGAATAACAATTAATCTGTCGTTCCTTCAATATTTTAAAAAACGAATTTAATATTAACTGAAAATTTTATCTTTTTCATGCAATATAATATAATAACAAGTAGTAGAGTCCTTAATTTCAATTAAGAAATCAATAATGAACTATCTAATACAAATGTTTTCTATATTTACTGTTTACAAATGGTTAATTTATAAAAGTGATTTAAATAAATAATAGATAACCATCAATAATGATATCGTTATGCATGAAGCTAGAGGGTCATATTTTAAAACGGTGTATATTTTTTTACTACTGATTATATATGTCACAGCCAACTGGTTAAATCAGCCGTTCAATTGGGCGCGCCTAGTTTTCTAGTTAAATCATTATAACATTTGGACTGTTCAACAAGACGGCTGATTTAAAAGCCATTAAAACATTAATTTCCTTTTGTTATTATTAAGAACTGTCGGATTTTTATCTATATTGGTATAAAGAATTAGACAAAGTTCCCTGTAATTTTGATCTTATTTATGCTAAATAAATCAATTGCCAGTTTGGGGAACACCTACATTATTTTTGATTACAATAGTTTAACCTTAGAAAGACTAAGAAACAGAATAAAAGAAAGAGAGATATGATAATGTTAGTGAGCAATGTTATCGGTAGGGCGTGTGGGAGCGCGGCGGGTGCGGGGCGTGCGGGGCCGCGGCGGGCGACGCGCGGCGCATCTCCGCGCAGCTGCAGCGCCTCCGCCACATGCTCGCTGTGCGCATATGCGCATGTATATGCATGCATGCATGCATATCTGCATGACTCGCTTGCCTTGTCCTCTTTTTATTATTGACGACTTTGAAGTGCAATGCAACGAGTTTTTAAGAAATTCGTCGGCCTCCTTGAAGTCACGGCTGTATAAATTAGAGCCGTCACTACGGTCGTGAAAGCTACAAATCGAGTCTCGGGCACCAGAGATGGTAATTTTTAAAAGAATGTAAAATATTTTGAATAGATTTATCGAATATATTATTCGTTTTGTCATATTAATCTTGAACGACCTTTTTTTTTAGAATATTTTAATTAACAGGTGAGATTGTAACCGTAATTAGCCGGAATAAATTTCTGTTACTTATATAAATTTTGTTGCTTTATTTTCTCAAATAAAGTTATACATTTTAACTTGGTGTGTCTTCTTGTTTGTTACATACTTCTACAAATAATATTTAGTGTGTTAAGTGATTTTGACAAGTTTGAAACATTATTTGATATTAAAAAAACTTCCTCTAACTTTCTCTGTCTCTGTCTTCCAAGGCATGCAAAAAACACGACCAATGACCCAAAGTATTATATGAGCGGTGCAGTAAAACGATACATTTCGCTGTTCATAGAATAGAACTATCTATCGTTTCCCCGGATTGCTTAAGTCTATTGCAGTAAGGGGTGGAATCAGCGACCTTTAGCGCTCCGTTCCATAAAACGCAGTACTACTCGGAAAAGATACATAAACTTCTATGGCTGACGATAAGTATGGTTTTTTTTCATCGCATGCATATAATTTTCGGTCACTGTCTATTTTTCGCCTACCCTAGGAGTATATATCACCTAACAAAATCGTGATTACTTAGATTGCATACAGACGATGGTCTCCGCGCGATATGAAAACGTCATCCATAAAACCTATGGAATAGTATGAATTATTAGAGATGAAACGAATATACCTTAGCAATAAGGCCACCTTTTGTGTAATTATGCTTCATTAAAATTAAAACGGTCAGCATTAAGATTTAATGAATGTAATATTTGTATCGGTAATGTCACTTTAAACTAATTACAATTTTAATGCACGTTTGTGCAACTTGCTGAAAGTGAAGTGAATTGTATTCATCCATCATTCGTTCATAGTTTTGTCATTCTGTTTGGATGGATATTAGATAATATTGCAGCTGGATGGCTTGATATATGTACTTTTACTTGCGTATATAATATAAACAAACGTTTAAAGAAATAGTAAAACAATAACATTGTCTCGTGTGTTCAGGCTTTTAAGTAATATTTATTTTTTTAGGTCGATTGTACGTGTGGATTGGAAGAAGAAAACATGAGACTGAAGAACGTCAACGAGAGTTTAAAAGTGAGGTTCTCAATATTATTTTTTTTTACTAATAGGTGAAAGGGGGTTAAGATGGAAAGCTTTAATTTTGTGTTATAAAAATATATATTATCACCCATCAATATTAATCAATATAAGTCGAGTAAGAAATCAAATCAAATTAGTATAACACGAAAAAAACGAATTTCAAAAAATTTATGAAAAAATTAACTTAATAAAAACTAAAGAGAAAACAAAAATATTACCAATTAAATCTTCCCAAAAGATTTTCTTTTTAGTTTATATTTAAGTTAATTTTTTCATGTATTTTTGAAAATTCGTTTTTACGTAGTTGGGTTTTTTGTTTTTTTTTTAAATTATTTATTTTTATTTTATACTTTTTAGTAACGATTCGTTGACTTATAAAATGGCAAATACAAAATCGCAATCAAATCTTTTCACTAAGGGAGTTAATATCGTTGGGATTATTAAGTAACTTGCGGTGGTCTAAACTACTGATGATTAGTCCCTCTAGAGACCTAACTCGGCTCAAAGTTATATATGCTTTATTTTTTACCAAAAATATTTGTTCTTCGTGCTTTTTCACTGTTTTTTTGTTTGTTTGTATATCGTTTATACTTTAAACAAAAACTTAAATCAATAAGTAAGAAAATTAGCGAGAATGTTTTGTTAAACAACTTTAAATCGTTATATATCCTAAACTATTACTTAAAATGAAAAATGATAAAGGACACCTATTCAACGACACCCCACTTGATATAATTGATCGATTTTTTTTTTCATCATTTTGACAATATGGCGTCTGGTTGTCGCTGTGGTGAATTTGGATTACTGTCATGTCTTTAGTGACACTCGCAAGGTTAAGACGAATCGATTGACGTAAGAATTATCAAAATTGGCCAACGCATTTGGTCTTTAGAACGCCACATAGAAATAAACATACATACATACATAGACTGATAAGCGCGAGTTGATCTAAACTTCGTTACTAAATTTAAAATTACCGTATGTGTTTAAGTAGGAATTATGACGGCTGAGATGAAACGTGTTTTAGGTTTATCGAAAGGGTCTCTTATCCCATCCTGCTATCTTGCCCTCCATTCCCCTTCTGAACTCCCTTTTTAAAACTGGTTGATCTGGTGTATCAGAAAGAAATGCAACAGTTTATATTTTCTGCAGATTCAATTAGGTGAAGCACGGCAAAGGTTGGGTGAGCTGGAGACAACGTTGAAAGAGAAGGAAGATCTCGAACAGTACAAGAGGATGATAGAAGATAAAAATAACGAAGTAAGTTGTAGCCCTGCGTGTATAGTAACAGTCTTCATACACTCGATAGACTTTTATGGAGCAGAAATTGACCATTAGTCAAGGAAAGTATTAGTAAGAAAGGGAGTAAATATTTATAGAGCAGACATCGCGCCGCTGCCCGCCCTCCCCCCCGTGGGTGAAATTAATATTAATGATATTTTTACATTTTTCTTCTGCTTTTTTAGATGTTATGTTAAAGAGTTGAAGAATTTTGAACACAAAATCCTTTGTATAATTGTGTAAACGTCTTATAGTCTAAAGGTTTAGAAGTATGTTAAGTCACTCGATTGTCCTCATGTTCTTCCAGAATCCAGGCACATGTTAAACAATTAACAATATTTTTTAAAATTTAAAAGAAGTCTTATTTATGTTAGGTATGTGACGATATTTCTTTTTTTTTATAGTTGGAAAACCTAAGAGCACAACTAGTTTTAATGGAAGAGAGAATCGCAGAGAAGGACGCAGCCTGTAAATCCATCTCCAGACAACTGCAAAAGGCTCAGGGTAAGCTTTATGTAGATACCACTTTATTATTATTATTACCACGTTACCTTTGACGTGCTGACATCGCTGGCCGAGTTGATACCGTTAGGCGTCAATTTTGAGTGACTACGGTCGAACAGGCAAACAATGCGAATTTGTCGTACGACGCGATAAGCTCACAAATCTCTTTAGTGGATTCATAACGAAGCTCACGTGTAATCTCATTAAGCCAAGATTGCACATTAAAACTTGAACGATAGTTTTGATCTTGCGGTGCGATTCGTAATTAAAGTAAAAGATTTCATCTTAGGGTTTTTAGTTATGCGTAATCGCGTGATCATAGCAACGCAAGCGGCGAAAAAAGGAAAACCGACTGGCGACTTTTAGATTATCGTGCGATAGGCACACGTATTTTATCGCACGATAAAGTCGGAATGATCATAAGCAAGTTATGGCATCACTTTAATGATATATTTCTTCATTATAATTAGTCGCTATACTTAATATGTAATTTAATATTGGTAATGATTGTTCTCATAAGCATCGTTAGAAGATCACTCTGCACAGGAGATGGCGCGTATGCGAGAACTACTAGCGAACGACGCACAAAAATCAGACCAGGTAAATATCATGTTCCTTTAGGTATATAACGAGGAATTATAGAAACACGCTCGTAAGTATATTTTAAATAAAGTATAATTTTTATCAATAATATGGATTCGAGTTGGAAATTAATTCGCAAAAATATATTTTTTTATTTTTTAGTGTTAAGGAAGAAGCAGTTACTTAACAAACATGTTTATTATAACAAACTAAATATTCTTAAAAACTTGTAGTTCCATATTGGATTTAGTAAACATTAAGAAAAATTAAACCTTATGTATGTATGACACACCAAATAATCAATTAATTAGGACAAAAAATTTTGCCTTGCACATTTCAAAATTACCAGTGATTCTCTGTTAGTTTCTTTTAAGTTCAAGCAAAAGATGTCAACATCACACAAATTTTGGTCGTAAGTTTTACAAGATCTTACAAACGTCTTATTTCTATAGCAGGTCTTAGGAACCGTATATGAGAATATTACCTTTTTGTGACTAAGTTATCGGTGAACTCATTAATATACAGAATAAATAATAAGGGTCCTAAGTGTGAGCCTTCGGGCACTCTTGAACTAATTGTTTACACACCTTTATAAGATGAAGTGCAACCAGCATAAACTACAGCTTGACTTCTATTATCTATTTAGGATTTAATCCATCTTAACAAGTCACCATGTATCCTAAGCTTCCAAATTTTTGACAGTAATGTATTATGGCGAATTTTGTCAAATTTTGGTAAAATGTATATGTATATATAACACAACCTGTAGCTTGTTATTTATGGTGTTCAAAATCATATCGATGAAAGTCACCAAATAGGTAATAACGCTACAACCTTTAATGAAACCGTGTTGAATAGAAATGATTAATTTTAGACTTGCTGCAAAAAATTGGTTAGTGACATTTTTTTAGAACCTTAGCAAATTGGCAGAATTTTGATATAAGACGGTATATCTCAATGTCAGTGGTAAAAGTACTATTTGGTATGGGAGTTATTTTTGCTCGCTTCCAAATTATAGGAAAGTATTCATCACTTATAGACTTAATATATTCAACGAGATCAAGAGAGCGAATTCAAATTAAATCACATAAAAGTTTACGGCGGAAACGTCGACGAGAGGTTTCAGTCGAGCTCGACGATGGCGATAGATATTTTAGAAGAAATAAAATTTAATAAAATCGTTTGGGGGAAAGTAATATTATATATATATTTTGAAAAAAAAATGTATTATTAAAGTAACATAAATAACAAAAGGGTTCTAACCTTTGATCAAAACAAAAATGGAAGATACGACATTGACCAAAACATGACACTGAAAAATTACGTATATAAACTAACACACTCAAACGGTATTCCCGAGCAAGCAAGAGACAGCTATGAGTTCTAACTTCAGCGTGAGCCCCATCATTATCAGCCATACGGTTATACCGATAACTGCTACCGAGCAGTTCAATCGGGTGAGTGAGGCAGCAATTGATTTCAACAAATTTGCACGAGCAAGACAGGAACTTGTGATATTTACAGTTCGTGGGACAACCTGTGAGAGTGTAGCAATTGTATGTAGCGTTTATATAACATGAAATTGTGAAGTCATAAAATTATATTTATTTTCTTTTATGTATAAAAGTAAATTAATTTTGAAAATTCAATAAACATCTCTTATTTCATTTGTACTTTTTCGTATTTGTATTGATATCTAAGTTTCAAACACAGAACATAGAGAGAGATAAGAAGTAGTAAGTGGGCGGGGCAAGCGTGGTAATAATGCAAACATTTCCTTTCACTGGTAAATACAATTTTAGTGCTAAAATATAAAAAACGTAATAATTTGACACAATGTCAAATAAAATATACATTGATTGCTCAAACCAACATCAATGTTTCTGACCCCATTACTAGACAGCAATGTAAATCATTTTGTGCACTTTTGCAAAAAATAGTGCTGTGTCTCCATTTGTCTGAAATGTACCGATAGGCTGCTGCTGCTCGGAATCGTATTGTTAATTATATGGATCGTAATCGATAACTAAAACATATTTATTTAGAGCTTTTCTTTCATCATTTCATAACAACGTTATGGATAAGTATATGCCATAATTATATAAAACTAAATAATACTGTTTACAAGAGAAAATAATAGATGAACTTATACTGAACTGTTTTATAGCAAGACGAGGGGTGACACAACCAATAAACACCGTAGTTAGTTTCACACTGCTTTATTATCAAGAGGCGCGGTCGCAGCCGCGCTTGATTCTTATTTTACCCTCAACCTTAATAATAACATATGCAACAATTCTTCCCCCAAATATTCAAATAACAATAAAATCTTTAAATCTTGTAGTTAACTTTTTTACGCTGACGTTTAGACCGAACATAGACATTTTCTTTTTCCATTAGTTGACCATCTCCATGGTCTGTGAGGTCAGTCGCGGCAAGGTTGCGTTCCATAGTGACTTCACTTGTCGCCTCCCTTTCCTTCCCCCTGTCAATGTCCTTGTCCTGGTTTGATAGTATAATCTCCTCTACAGGGGCAGAAGCAACCATACAACTTGCCGTGGTAGTGGTCGATGAAGTAGATGATGGACTGTTTTCCTCCAAAATTAGTTCTGGTTCCCAAGAATGAATATCATTTTGTATCACTGGTACTTCATGTCCACAGCGTAATATTAACTGATCAACGTGTCTGCTAACTTCTACATCGTGTCCCGGAAGATACACTGAGTACATAACGCTACCTAATTTCTTTTTAATCACGCCTTCAATCCAAGTAAATTTATGATTTTGTAAATATTTTTTTGTCCATACTTTATCATTTACTCTAAAGTCAGGTCTATTTTTACCTCTATATTGTTTAATCTGTAAGAACTGGTTTTGTCCTACTTTATCAATGGCGTCCATGGATGAAGGACTGACTTGTTTTGGCCTTAACAAATCTAATCTCGATCGTAATGAACGACCAAACAATAGTTCAGCTGGAGATTTTCCCGTGGTACTGTTTATGGAATTCCTATAATCGAACAGAAACTTGGACATATTTTCTTTTGTTAACTTATTATTAGAAGTATTATTTAAAACACATTTTAATCCCTTTTTTACTATTTTTACAAAGCTTTCTGCTTGACCGTTACTAATTGGATGGTAAACCGGGGCAAAAATGTGAGAAATACCATTAAGTGTACAAAAATTACGAAATTCCTGTGATGTGAACGACGTACCATTATCACTCACCAAGGTATGTGGAATTCCAAATCTAGACATTAAATCTGTAAGCTTCTCTATAACTGCCTTAGAACCATAAGAACAATTCATATTGTAAACCTCAACCCACTTCGAATACGCATCAACTATAATTAAAAACATTTGATTATTAAATGGGCCGAAAAAATCCAAATGTATTCTATAGAAACTATGAGGTGGATACGGCCAAGGTGCGAGTGTTGAATGTGGTGGGGACGGGCGCAAGCGCGCGCATACGTCACACGCGGCCGCCAGCTGTTCTATATACCTATCAATGCCAGGGAACCAAAATCGTCTGCGTGCGTCCGCTTTCATTTTCACTACGCCGAAGTGTGAGCTATGCAGTTCGCTACATATTTGATCTCGTAATGATGTCGGAATAACAACTTTATGTCCGCGCATTAAGCAACCATTTTCCATAGCTAACTCTGAACGACAAAGAAAATATTGTTTTATATTGTTATCGTTTACCCGCCTAGGCCATCCATTCATCACATAATTCGCAACTTGACTAAGTATCGCGTCTTCAGTAACTTCACTGCGCAGACGTTGCAGAGTGACAGGCAAGCTGCCCTCCACTACAAAGTTTATATACGCTGCTCGTTCTTCATAGTCGCCGCCCTTAGAGGGAAACAAAGATAAATTACCGTTTTCTATCGGCGCCCGAGAGAAATAATCCGCGTTGTTATCCGCACTACGCACATACTCAATAACGTAATTGTACGCCGATAGAAAAATTGCATAACGTTGCAGCCTATTTGCCGAAATTTCTGGAATGCCACGATGAGACCCAAAAATTGAAATTAAGGGTTTGTGATCCGTTCTTAAAATAAAAGGATCTGCTCTGCCGTAAAGATATTGATGAAAACGTTTAACACCAAATATTATGGCGGTGGCTTCTTTTTGTATTTGAGAATATTTTTTTTCTGGCACCGAAAGTGTTCTAGAAGCAAAAGATATGGGTTTCTCGAGACCATCACTACATTTTTGCGACAACACTGCCCCGAGACCCGTTGGTGACGCATCTACGGTAAGGATTAACTTAGCATTTATATCAAAATGAGCTAACACCTGATCGGATGCTAATATTTTTTTTATATTCTCAAAAGCTTCCTGATGCACTTCTGTCCAAACCCACTTAGTATTTTTATGCAACAAACTATACAATGGACTTAGAATGGATGAGATATCAGGCACGAAACTTCGGTAATAATTTATTAATCCCAGAAAAGCTTGTAACTGAGCCACATTTGTTGGTACTGGGGCTTCAGTCATAGCCTTCACTTTATCTGGAGACTTTCTAATCCCCTTTTTATCAATAATATGCCCTAAATATTCAATATTTTCTTTAAAAAATTCACATTTATTCGCTTGAAGTGTAAGACCGACTGATTCGAGTTTCTTCAATACAGCCGTAAGCCTGTCCCAGTGTTGAATATTATTACCACTTATCAAAATGTCATCCAAAAAACAGACCGTGCCTTCTATACCCGCCAAGACGCTTTCTATGGCCCGTTGGAAAATAGCTGGTGCGCTAGCTAATCCAAAGACTAACCTAGTATATTTGAAAAGGCCGCGATGAGTATTAACACAAGTTAAATTTTGTGAGTGTTCGTCAAGTAAAAATTGATTATAGGCCATGGAAAGGTCAAGCTTTGTGAAATATTCACCTCCATGTAGTTTAGAAAACAGCTCTTGAACTGTAGGTAATGGATATTTATCAACAACCAACTGTTTATTAATAGTAACAGAGTAGTCGGCACATAAACGAATTTCTCCATTTTTTTTCAATACTGGAACAATAGGTGATGCGTACTCCGAATGATCTGTAGGTTTCAATATTCCTAAACTCAACAAGCGGTCAATTTCCTTATCTATTTTATTTTTTAAGGCAAACGCTACTGGTCGGGGTTTAAAGAAGATTGGTTTTGATTCAGGTTTCACTTGTAACTTAACAAGATACTTATTAAAACAACCTAATTCTCCTGAAAATAACTTTGGATAACTTTGAATCAAGTTTTCTGTTAACGTTTGAAGCGATTCCGCACAAAAGAAGTTGGTCGCCGGTACAAATTCCAGTCTGAAAGCATGTATAAAATCACGACCAAGCAAAGGTGGGCCACCACCCATAACTACGAAAACATTAAGGACCTGTGTAAGACCCTCATAACTAATTGGCAACTTTATAACCCCCAATATATTCATATTGCCCCCTGTATAATTTACAAGTTGTTTGTTGGTGGATAATAAAGGCACATCACTAAAGTATTTCTCGTATGTTTTATTTGATATTACGCTTACCGCGGCCCCACTGTCTACTTCGAATTCCATAAACAGACCATTCGCCCTAACTCGCTCAGTCATGGGATTGCCCACTGGGCAACGAATATTAAACAATGACTTACCGTCATCTCCCTCATCCATAGTGCCATCCGTAATGAAATTGACTTTATGGTATTTTGACGAACATACACGGCTTAAATGACCGATTTTATTGCACTTTTTACATTTATACTTTTTAAAACGACACTTGTCAGCACTATGATTACGATAACCGCACACGCTACACTTTAAATCGCTAGACATCTTGAAAACCGCCGCCTGCGATACTCCGTCGACCGCCATCGCCGAAGTAGTGCTGCCGATCGGTCGCGCTGCCGTCGCCGCCGCGTCGCGAGCGCAGCGTACACTCTCAGCCAACTCGACTGCCTTGCTAAGAGTTAAATCTTGCAAATTCTGTGCAAACAGTTTATCCTTTTCGTGTCCGGCGCACATGCCCATGACAAATTTATCTAATATTGCTTCATCTAAATTTTTGAAGCCGCAGTGTGCCGCCAGTCCCCTTATCCTGGCCGCCCACATTGTGTGACTTTCACCTGGCTGTTGTACCGCCGAATAAAAATGAAATCGTTCTGCGAAACCACACCTTTTTGGAATAAAGTGGTCGTCCAATAATTGCATGATCTCAATATATTCCACTTCTTCGATTTTCTTCGGTAGTGCCAGGTTACTAACTAATTTATAGGTTGGTTCTGCAAAAGCGCTAAGCAAAATTGCCCTTCGCTTGACCTTGCTTTTGTCCGTTACGTCGTCCATGTTATTAGCAATAAACCACTGTGTAATTCTGGATTTGTAAGTGCTCCATTCTTGAGAAGTGTGGTCAAAAGATGTCAAAAAACCATATAACACGCCTGTAGACATTTTAAACGAGGATTCGGTCGTCGCCACTGTTTTATAGCAAGACGAGGGGTGACACAACCAATAAACACCGTAGTTAGTTTCACACTGCTTTATTATCAAGAGGCGCGGTCGCAGCCGCGCTTGATTCTTATTTTACCCTCAACCTTAATAATAACATATGCAACATGAACAAATGAAATAATGAAATATCCAGGCACTTTTTTTACGAAGATTCAGTTAATTAATTACACGCAGATAGATATTAAAAAATTCTGATGTGCTATAAATAATAAGTGCTTGTAATAAAGAAATGAAAATATCTTTATTACAAGCACTTTTGATTCGTCCAAAAAAATTTTTTCCCCTACCACTTGTTCAGGACGTCTTTTAGCTGACAAGAAGAACAAGCGAAAGAAACTTACCAGCTCTTTGTCATAAGTAATAACATTTACATAAATCATGTCATTTCATATCAAATCACAATAATAAATAAACTTCCAAAGTCTGTAGGACATAGGTTGAACATATAATTAGTCTTTATAGAACAAAGCGAAGGCTATTAATTCCATGCATTGCGATCCTTAAAATAATCATCAACTTTATAATAGCTTTTACTCATAAGTATATTCTTTACATGAATTTTAAATTTATTTATGGGTAGGTCAACTACATTTTGTGGAACTTTATTGAACATAGCAATACATTTACCCAGAAATTATTCACTGGTTTTCTGAAGTCTGAAGCTTGGAACGGCAAGTTTATTTTTATTTCTTGTGTTAAGATTATGAACACTACTTTTTTTTGTGAAGGAATCATAATGTTTTCTTGCATACTCATATTTTCATAGATGTATTGAGAGGCAACAGTCAAAATATATATATATTTTTTTATATTTCTCTGAGAGATTCTCTAGAGCGTAAATTATATATAGCGCGGACAGCTCTCTTTTGTAAAATAAAAATATCTTGAATGCTAGCCGCAGAACCCCACAACAATAGACCATACGTCATTACACTATGAAAATAACTAAAATATACCAATCTTGCCGTTTCATCATTTGTCAAGAGTCTAACTTTCTTAACAGCAAATGCTGCAGAACTCAGTCTACTTGACAAATTATCAGTATGAGGATCCCATTGCAGTCGGGAATCTAGTGTAAAACTAAGGAAGTTTGGTCGATTCCACCAACTCAACTTTTTCACTATTTAAATTTATAAGTGTATTAACATTCCCCACATTAGGTAATGCAAACTTTATGCATTTCGTTTTATTTGAATTAAGCTTTATATTATTACTATCAAACCACTGTAGAACATTGTGGAACTGAATTACATTTAACTGTTTAATAACAAAATTTAAAGCTCTTATTTTATCAACTAATATTATGTCCCATCACTAATATGCACAATCGGAATGATACCAGTAAGAAAAAAAAAATTAGGCTTAATGTGATTAATACAAAAAATCTGCTGTTTTCTTATTTTTGTTTTTTTTTTTACACTTTCCCTCGCCTAATTATATTACTCCACAGACATATGATCAAAATCAAAATCAAAATCAAAAATTATTTATTCAGTTTAGGCTTTTACAGAGCACTTGTGAAAGTCGAAAACTACGCCATCGGTTCGCAAAACTACAGCGGGAGACCTTGTATTGAGAAGAACCGGCAAGAAACTCAGCAAGGGCTGTTTTTTTTCTCCCTGTTTTATTTCACACAGAGAAGTCTTATTGCAAAATGATAGAGTTTATCATTAAGTTTTCTTAGTTTTTGTACTGCGTTTTTTTTATCAGATATTTTATTAAATTATATAGGGAAAAGCGTTATTTTTCACTATTCACTTGGTTACAGCAAAATCTAATCTTAATAGTTCGCACATAAAATGATGTCCCCAATTTTTTAAAATGTGCATCATCTTAAAATATTTTTTCCCTTTTGGTATCCCCGTATACAAGCTGGACAGTCACGTGGCAGTTCAACATTCATGTTAAAGTAAATTATTTATTAGCACGTTAAATTAGAGTTTGTTTTTAATCGTGAGATTTTTTAGCTTAGTATCTTTTTGGAATTTTGTTTATGTTATCGCGAACGTATCGCGTGGCGGTTTTTCATGTAGTGAACAAAATGATTATTTCATCTAATCTTCATTTGTGTGCGGAGAGGCGACATGTTCTGTGGTTTCAAACTTTGCAAGTCTCAGTTTTTAATATGTTAGTTAAAAGGAACGGAAATTACGTCCATCTTCGGTCCATTCGTTTCCTGCAAAAATCAACTTTTGGTAGGGTATCTAGTGATTATTCGTGAAGTGATTGACCGTACTAATAGTATCAAAAGTGAAATTGTGTGCATGCACCTAATTTGTAGTTTCTATTAACAAAGCGCTTCTGCCGTATCTTCCCTTTTTGTTTTAATCAAAGAGTCTAATCAAAAACTTGCGTGTACATGTCCTGGATGTGGTCGGAGAGGACCCAATTCCGGAGAATGTTAAAGTTTACGGTCGGACGATTGGTACAGATCCGTTCGGTGCGCGAGCAGTTATCCCGCGCGCAGCAGGCGGCGGCGCACGAGCAGCAGCGGCTGCACGCGCAGCTGCAGCACGCGCACGCGCGCGGCCGCCGTCTGGTGCGCCACGCGCGCGCGCTGCTGCCGCACGTGCACAACTGCGTGCAGCACTACAGGTACCTACGCGTTGTACCTATATACGATTCACCATCACCATCATCAGCCATACGCTACCCACTGCTGTCCGTAGGCCTCCTCCACAGATCTTCAAAACGATCGCACCTGCGCTCCCGCAATCTTTGACCGATCGTCGGTCCACCTGGCGAGGGCCTCCCTGAATGTTGTTCGGTGCGTGGTCGCCATTCCCGAATATTTCCTCTCAGACGGCCAACGGTTCTTCTGGCTCGCCCGGTTCGCTGCCCCTTCGGCTGAGCGTCATCTCTCATCATTCCCGATTCGATCACTTAGAGAAATACCGAGAATAGCTCTCTCCGTTGCCTGAGTCTTCTCATGAGACCCGCAGTTTCGCTTCCGTAGATCATCCCTGGCGACACACCCCGATCGAAGACTTTGGTCTTGGGACACTGAAGTGATTCGGACGCGAAGACTTTTCGTAGCTTCCCGAACGCTCCCCACCCGAGCTGGAATCGACGGGAGATCTCTTTCTCGAAGTTGGGCTTACCTAACTGGACTGTTTGTCCAAGGTACACACAGTGGTCGACAACGACATAGACATTTGACGTGATTTTCGTCTTATCCGTGTTCATCTTAAGACCTTTGGGATGTACGTCTGAGAAACCCGAGTATGGTCTTTAGGTCCTCCAAAATCTCAGCCATTAGGACTACCTCGTCAGCAAAGCGAAGGAGTGTATGATACTCGCCATTAATATTAATTCCGTATCCCTTCCGAACCAGATGCTAGAAAATATCCTCCAAAGCGGTAAATAGCTTCGGAGAAATATCATCTACTCTTCTCACGTCTCGCTGTTATTAGATGGGATTTGAGTTCTGATTTTGGAATCGGACCGACATAGTAGCGTTCTTGTACAGACGCTTTAGCACCTCGATGTACCTGTAGTCCACTGGAGGGAAAGTATCACCGCCCATGTCTCGATCGAATCGAAGGCTTTCTCCTTGTCTACGAACGTCAAACAGAGTGGCCGGTTATACTTTGGTCTTCTGTATAACTTGCTGCAGCATATGAATATTGTCCATGGTACTATAGCCTTTTCGGAATCCGGCTTGTTCGGGAGGATGGAAGTCGGTGAGCCTACGAGCGAGACTATTCACAATAACTCTTGGGAACCATTTATAGATATGGCTCAAAAGCGAGACCAATCTATAGTTCTTCAAAAGTGTCTGATCATTCTTTTTGACTCACAGGTTTTATTATTTTTATGAATAAACATTGTTTTACTGATTCTTTATAATCAATATTTTTCAGAGGTCAGGATGATAAAATAAAGGAACAAGAACGATTAATCGAAACGTTGCAACGTAGATTAGAGAATAGGCGAATAGACAATACGAAAACTGATGAAGGTATACTCGACGCTTGCTGCTCCGAGTGCGTCTCTGTCTGGTGGGGCAGGTGCCGTGCGTTCGAGAGCGAGACGGCCAGCTGTTCCAAATACGCGTCTCACGTTGGAGAGAGACGTGCACGAGTCTCGAGAACGAGTGGGAGTGAGATGACGAGTCCGTCGTCGGCTCCCACGCCGCCCCAAAGATTAAAGAAGAAGACCGCGTTCCCGTGCGTCGGTGCGGTGAGTTGTTTTGATATATTTTATATTGGTGACATCAGTTCACAGATACCCCGAATTGGATTTTTCAAAGATAAATACGCCATATAGCACTGTGTCTAATTGTAAGTGTCTTTATTAACACGTTCACAGCGGCAAGTAAAATCATAACCCTTCATCTGGTGCGGCGGCGGGTCAAAATGCGCCCCCAATGATATTTCCGGCAGTGCGTGGCAGGTTTTTCTAGACCCACCAGCATTAGGATAGATTAAATTGCTATAACTTTGTGGAAATATAATGTATACATTTATTTTTTATATTGTTAGAATGACTTTGAACCCAATTTCCTTAGGTTTGATTTGCCCCAGGATCTGCCAAACAGAAAAAGCGGCAGTCCATATATCGACCTGAACCGCACTAGAAAGTATTTTTAGTAGTGATGGGACAGAGAAAAATAAGGGGACATCGAAAATAAAACAGATTTATCGTAAAAGAACTGAAAAATGTTTTTATTTACTTATGGTTGTCTTGGAAACTTGTTACGCAAAGGTTTTGGTTGCATTTCCTGCAATATTTTTTTTATTTTCTTAACTTTTTTTGCGTACCATTAAAGGTTTTTCGCAGTCTGTCGTAACATCCTGCACAATTTCTTCGTTTAGCGCTCATCTCAAGGACATGGTCATTGTCCTTAGGTTTTACTTCACATACATCACATCACCAGCCCTTTTACGTCCCCACTGCAGGGGCTCAGGCCTTCCTTATGGATGGTTAAGGAGGATGGGCCATGACCCTCTACGCTGGCCCAATGCGGATTGGAGGGTACTAACGACTGCAAATGCAGCCGGGACCAACGGCTTAACGTGCCTTCCGAAGCACGGAGTAGCTCGAGATAGTAATTTTTTGGTCACCCATCCCGTGACCGACCCTTGCGAAAGTTGCTTAACGACTACGATCGTGGGCCGTGGCGCTTATCCACTACGCCAACCAGCTATTCTTATATAGGTTTTACTTGATTTTTTTTCTTAATTCCGTGTGATTTATTAACCATTTATGAGTTTTACCACAGAACTCGCGAAACTAAATAACTTTCAATAACTGCAGGGCGAATTACTCTATTTTCCAAAATTTGTATTTTTCTTTTATTGCTTGCCATCGTTGAGTATATCGAACGCTACGTCAGATCAGTTAGATAGCACAACACTAACTGGCGGGGCGCGCGCTCTGTGCGATATCGGGTCGAAAGCTGCCTGTAGGAAGGGCGGGCCGATACAGGCCCGCTGCCGCACTCAGCGGATGTTTTTCACCGTCAGTGCGTGGTAGGTCGATAAAAGCCTGCCGTTATGTTTTGATGGGGAACACCTACAATTTTGACCGCAAGAAGAACTATATATTTGTCTCTGTCGAATTTATATAAACACCTGAGATGATCGTTTCGCACTAGCGAGAAGGACATAGTTTACTTCTTCCGCACTAGCTGAAATACCGCGGCAGGCCTGTTACGCAGTGAACGTGTTAATACTTATCGAAAGCGATTTCATAGTCTAATGGAGTTATTTTTCAATTCAGATTATCTGAATTAAAAAAATTGATTAAAAGAGTAGCCCTTGCCGAGTTGCAAAGTTGGTTCTTTCCAGTATACAAGGACTTCCGCCGTAGATTTGAAACTATCGCATAGTGTCGACATTAAAGAGTGCCAGTTTCAGTCAATATATAAATGGGGGGGGGGGGTTAAGAAGCTTGTTAATCTGGGCCTGTGTATAAAGTAGACGATTTGTATTCGTCAGGAGTGGGCGTGGGCGGCGCGGAGGGACGCGGCCCACCAACACCCACACAGGCGCGACGCCGCCACGCACACATTGCACGTATGTATATAGTAGGAAGACAAAGAGCGGAAAAAGGTTGCAACGATAAAGTGGGCGTGGTCTTCCGATTCGCTCCGACCGCTCGGGCAAACGGGGTTGCCCGAGCGGTCGTATGAACGTCGCATTGCCGGTACGCCCCGTGCAGTATTTGCACAATGTCATTGTGGTCCGAGGTGCGGCGCGAAATACAACAAATATGTGCCGAACCTGTTGTTTGTGTAGTGAAATGTAAGACAAAAAAGAAGGAATTACGTTTCATGAGTATGTAAAAATATTGAATGAATAACTGTAATCGAGAAACAATCACAGTGTTTGCACATTTCACAGCATTGACAAGGTGCTTTCATTTGTCGATAAAATTTTATCGATACTGCATAAACTCTGATATCGTATAGGTATGGCAATCAATTTACATGCAATTTTAATATTAAAGCTGGGTTTCTACTTAGACAAATATTTATAATTAATTTGCAACGCGGGCTAAATATAATTTCGGTTTCCAATACCCGCGTTGCCTTCTAAGAAATCACAACTGTAACTATTCACTGCTCTTTTCACTTGAAATAGCAATAAAAATTTGAATAGCATTTTTCCACATTTAGCCATTGATATTGATAATCCTGTCTATGCAGTACTCGATTATTTATTTTTACCCCTAATCTTAGTTACTTTACGCTAGGCTTTGTTTATTAGAGTTATCCTTTGTGGTTGACTATATAGCAACTTTACATGCGCCATTTTTGTGCAGCGTAATTTGAAAAATTGTTTTAATGCAGATACTGTGAGAATTTTAGTTGTTTTTTAATGAAATATGCACACATAAAATTAATATCCGCGCTCAAAATATAATATTCGGAACTGACAAAAGTAATCGTGCAGATTTTTATTATAGCCGTGAACATACACGTGGTTAACATTAAAATGAACTCTAATAATAGGCTAAGATAGACTGCTTTTGCAAAAAAATTGTAGCCAATGGGAATATCGCTCTGTTCGTGTGCTGAATAGGTGAAGTTTTACGTCTACCGTCTATCCGGCAGGCGCGGTCCTGGGACTAACGTGAGGACGTTATCATCGTAACCTTTTTTCCTTATTCTGGGGAGGGGACTAACGAAGTATTCAAAGAATAGTAGCTTTCGTTCCACTCGGCTGTTCGACGTTTAGCAGTCCGAAGGGAGTAGGTATCGAACGGCAGCGTTCAATCGAAAGTTGCTCTGTCGTAATCTAAGTCTATGCTACATAAATATCATTGAAGTTTATAACGACTGTTCGCGCCTAATATTACGCACGGGGCGAGGGGCGCGGGGGTCGGAACGCGACAGAGGCCGACGGTGACGCCTCCTTCGGGCGGGCTCGGGAATCGTCGTGTTTCCGCCCACTATCATTTGATACAGCTTTTGTTATGACAATTTATGAAGCATGTAAACTGCAATTTAAAGAAGAATGAGTGCATAATTATTACCAGCTGAGGAGTGGATTTGTTTATCGCCTGTCGTATACAACAAGCATAGAATGCTATGTGGCCATAGTGTTAATGTATCTCGTGACGGTTCCCCAGCGCGAGTTGTCGCCGCGTGCCGCCGCTGCGCAGGATGAATCTCTGCTGTCTCTGAATTTGAATCGGTAATATATAACCGCTTCGAGTCTCTCGTCCGAAACATAGAAAATATTATTTTATATATTCGTCCGATACGTGTCACGTAGTCGTAGATTTATTGAAACTCCGTCCCGTGGTGAGAGATGGTGGTCTAGTAGAATATTTTTAGAACGTATCGGAATCTGTAAATGTTCGTTATTCACTCTGTGAACTCATTGCCTATTTAAATTATTAGGTGCACAGGGCTTCACGATATGTCAAATTTACTCAATTGATTTTGAGCCTCATCGACGATACGTAAGGTTCAAAATGTGACAGGTATCCTTTAGCCTGACGTACTGTTGACTGTGCGCACGATATATGTGTATTTTACCAAATTGTTCCTTTTTGTATTATCTTCGAAAGGCCATTTTTAGATAATTTGTATCATGCGTATTTAAGTATGAGATTTATTATGTTAGTAGTTAATTACCTTCATTGACTATTGTGATGATGGCATTTGAATGACGACATTCCATTATCTACGGTGGATTGGAATTTCTATTACTATTATTTATAATTTAATTCTGTACGAGTATTTTCTATATACTTCAGTATGCATTTATTTCTTTCGGACCTTTGAAATGTGACAAGTTGCAAAATCCTATGATAATTTTATTCACACATGTCAATTTGGTGTATGATATATAAAATGCAATAGAAATTATAAATGGACATTACTTGTGTATGTATGAGAGGAAAATCTGTTATTTGCATCGATTTGTCCGGAACACCTACATTGATAATCTAAAATATGAGATTTTAAATTGCGCGATATACAGCCGAAGGACGCTTCAATAATGTTTCAAATACGATCTCATATAAATTAGTACCGACTGATATATAGCGCCATCTATTGCGGAATTTAAAAACTCATTTGAATACTTCGAGTAATTTTTAATTGACTAGTCCATTTTTTACTATTTTATAACTTATTTATTTACTTAGCAATAAATGATTTTGTTGAACTACAATTTCTTTCATTTTTCCATAGAAAATAAAACATTTTTTTATAAAAAAATATTTATCTTTATTTAATGTCAAAAAATTAAAAAATCACAAGATATAAAAATTCTGTCTGTACATACAACAGTGGCACGTCTACAGTCGCGTTCAAAAATGTGTACAACTTTATTTTCTTAAATCGATGCACTTATTTTTAAATCTATACACGTACATAGTTTTTGAACGTGACCGTTTGACGGCTACATACAACCGTCATAACACTCACTCGACCGATTACAATACTATGGAGTGTAAATTTTAAAATACAATTTATCAGATTCCATGTGACAGTATAATATAGGCAACCTATTGAAAACATACATTTTTAAGGTTGTAAAAGGCTCTCACATATTTTACAATCGACGATTAAACGACCACTGAGCTAATATTTTTAACCAATAGTCGAGAAAGTGTTTGAAATCTTCGTCATTCCCGTTGGATGTGGAATTTAAAATGAGTATTAGGACTACTATTCGCTGGGTGCGCGATGACAGCGCTAACTAGCGGCTACAATTAGGTTGGACTTTTATATTTCAAATGGCTGGCATTCAGTACGAAGGGTAAGTAAGCAAACAATAATTTAAATGAAATGTCGTAATTGACTTAGATTCTGTTCGATCATGTAAATCTATAGTGTCGATACTAAATTTCAGATAGTACACACGGACTCTCTCATTGCTGATTTTACGGGAAATAAGTACCTAAAGACAATCATTTGTGAATATGTCGTTAAAAATGCAGACTTTTTGTGTATATTCATTTAAATACGACCAAATTAATAATAAACACTTAATTTCCAGTAATCGTACAAGACACCGCTATCCACCAACAAAGAAGAATAAAAGTAAATAATGAATTTTAGCGAAACTGTTTAAATATTATGTTATGTCTAATATTGTTTAATGATTAAGTATTGTGTTAAATATTCATA